TTAAATCTTGTTTCTATTCATCATGTTATTTATTAGTTCAGTTGTAAGTGGTTTTGTTATTTTGTTTTTGTTTTCATAAAGATGAAATGCATACTGATGGCTTTACTCTTTGATCTACATTTATAAGTATTTTAAGTCCTCTTGACTTTCAGCAAGTAAAGTTGGATCATCTTCATGACTTCCTCAAATTCTGATGCCATGTTCTTTTTCATATAATCCATATTTTCGGATTAATTACTTAGCATACAGACTGAATAATTGTGATGAATGAATACAACCCTAGCACATATCTTTCCTGATTTTAAACCATTAGTATCCCCTTGTTCTGTTCAAATGACTGCCTCTGGGCCTATGTGCAGGTTCCTCATGAGCACAATTAAGTGCTTCAGAATACTCATTCTCCACAATGTTTCTCATAGCTTGTCATGATCTACACAATCAAAGCATTCGCATAGTCAGTAAAGTACAAGTAAGCATCTTTCTGGTATTCTCTGCTTTTAGCCAAGATTTATCTGATGACAGCAGTGATATCCCTCATTCCACATCATCTTCTGAATCTGGCTTGAATTCCTGGCAGTTCCCTGTCGATGTATTGTTGCAGCCATTTTTAAATTATCATCAGCAAAATATCACTTGCATGTGATATTAATGATTTTGTTTGATGATTTCCATATTCTGCTGCATCACCTACCTTTGGAATGGATCTCTTCCAATTGTTTGGCCAGGTAGCTGTCTTTCAAATTTCTTGGCATAGATGAGTGAGCACTTCCAGTGCTGCATCAGTTTGTTGAAAGATTTCAATTTGTACCCCATCAATTTCTGGGGCCATGTAGATTTAGAAGTACTTTCTTTTTTTTTTTAACCTAAGATCATTGTCCTGAGGATGCTTCATTAAACAAATAACCCCCAGGGTAACTTTCTGCAATCTCATCTATGTGGAACACTGTCAGAAATCAGGAAAGCAGCAAGAAAAACAATAAAAGCAAGATAAAGTTTACATATTTTCTCTGATCCTAGACATGGTGTATGTGTATAAAAATGTGCCTATCAAAAGAATGGCAAGAGCTACAAAGGCAAGAAGTGACTGGCTTACAAGCTTTCAAGAGGGAACCTAGATCCCGAGGGCCTGGAGGAAGGTAGAATCTCCAGTGAGTAGTGTTCAATCTGACTAGGCGGGGCTGATGCAATGAAATGCAGACGGGTCTCTTGTGATACAATGGTGAATGATTGTTATCAGGACTGACTGTGAGGGTTGGAAGTGTAAAGGTGGATGTTTTATAGCAAGGAGGGGAGTGACTGACTTTTCGATCTGGGAGCAGAAGTCCCGAGGACCATCAAGGGAGAAGAGCAGAGAGCGGGACCCTACCTAGAGAAGCAGTGATGCCTGAAATGGAGCCAGAGATGATGACATGGAGCTATGGAGCAGCTAGCTGGAGACTTTGGATCCAGAGAGGGAGGGCGACTGTGTGCACGGGGGAAGGATTGCATGGAGGGAATTGTAACCATGGCAATGAGACGATATACGATAGAATGAATGTAAAACTAATGTTCTCCCATGTAAACTATCACATAATTCACAATAAAGCATTAAAAAAAAAAAAAAAGAATGGCAAAAAAATACACAATCATGTAAAAAAGAATGGCAAAAGACCATTGTAAACAACCAAACTTTATTCAATTCAACTGATAAACAATTTATCAAGAGAACACTATTCACCAATCACAGGGCCTGATGATGATGAAGAGGAGAAAAGAATAAAAACTGCAGGAGCAGCTAACACGTACTGAATAACTACCTTGTGCCACACAATGTTAATTCACTCCTCACTACTACCCGATGAGGTAGGTGTATCAATTGAGTTGTATTCTCCAAAAAGATATGTTGAAGTCCTAATCCCAGAACCTGCAAATATGGACTGGTTCAGAGAAAGGTGGTTTATCTTTGCAGACGTTGTCAGTTAAATCAAATTAAATGAGGTTATACTGGAGTTGAATAGGAGGTTATACTGGAGTTGAATAGGTTCTAATGCTAAACCCTTTTTGAATAACTCCTTATAAAACAGAAAGACACAGAAACAAGAGTCACATACAGAAGAAAGACAGCCTGGAAGGGCCCATCTATTAACCAACAATTGCCTACAGCGTCCTGGTGTGGTGCTGTGGATTAATGCACTGGACTGCAAAGTTGGTTTGAACCACAAGCTTGACAGTTCAAACTCACCAGCCACTCCTCAGAAATTCTATTCAGGGTCACTATGAGTTGGAACAGACTCAACGGCACTTAACAACAACAACCAGAAGCTGGTGGTTGTGTGTGCCACCGAGTTGTTCCGACTCATAGCAACCCTGTATAGGGTTTGTGAGGCTGTAAATCTTTACAGGAGCATAAAGCCTCATTTTTCTCCCACAAATTAAGTGGTAGATTTGAACTACTGACCTTGCAGTTAGCACCCCAACTCTTAATCTACTACACTACCAAGGCAGGAGTACAAAAGTTCCTCTCATAAAGTCTCCAAAAAGAATCAACACAGCTACATGTAGTCTTTAGCCTCCAGAACTGCCAGAAAATAAATTTCTGTTCTTTAAAGTCACCCATTTGAGGTATTTTGTAATGGCATCCTTAGAAGATTAAAACAGTAGGCTTATTATTATCCACATTTTCACAATGAGAAAATTGAGGTATGGAGCAATTAAATAATCTAATCAAGTTTGCACAACTAGTAAATGGTGGACGTGGAATTTAAACCTAGATGATCTGACTTCTGACATGCACTAGTAGCCATTCCGCTATACTGAAGACAACATGAGGAATGGGTAGGAGAGGTGAGATATTGGCTACCAGCATCAACCATTCCTGCCCTTAGAGCTTCCAGTTTAGTTAGCAAGACAAGCAAATAAGCCTTAGAGGAGCACCTAAACCAACCCAAGGTTTAAGCAAGGGTCCCAATAACAGAAGTCCTCTCACCTGAGCTCTAAAATTCAGGTGGGAGGTAACCATGGGAAGATAGGAGTAAGGAGGCACTACAGGAGAGGAACTTGCTCTCCCAAAGACCCACCGTGAAGAAAAGCATAGAGACTCCACGTGGGACTACACCCCAACCACTAGAACTATGCACAGAACATATACAGATAAAAGTGTGATCTTTGTTAGGGGATAAGAGGAAGCTGGGAAGAGAGGGCTGAAATATGAGGGTGAAGAGAGAGAAATAGAAGTGAACTTAGGAAGGACTTAAACTGACATCCTACAGACTTTTGTAATTGATTCTGAAAGAAATAGAGGCCCGGGGTTTGAAAAGGGGAGTAAGCTGCATTTTAAAATGATTCAATGAAGACACAATTAGAGGAAGGCTAAACATAAAAGAAGAGTCCTGGTGTGGCACTGGACCACATGGTTTATTTGAACTAAAAGGTTAGTGGTTCAAACCCACCTTGGAAACCTTATATGGGGTAATTATGAGTCTGAACTGACCCTATGGCACTTGACAACAACAAAGCAGAAAAGAAGCTAACAACAAATGTAATTAGGTGACAGGGCAGTGGGATCAACTAAAGAAGCAGCACTGGGTAGGTGGAAGAAAGTGGTCATATGTAAGAAATGCCAAAAAGGCATAACACCAGTGCCTGGTGATTGACTAACTACGTATGGGCAGTGAGGGGCAAGGAAGAAATCAAGGTGACAACACCAGGTTCTAACATGAGACTAGGCATATGAGGAGGTACAAAGATGATTTGGCATTCACTGAGACAATGAACATTGGAAGGGAAGCAGGTCTCAGATACAAGAAAAGATCTGTGCACAAAACAGGCTCAGTCGCTTGATTGAGAAGCAACCCATCTAATGGAGAACTTGGATTAGTACTTTAAATATTATTAAAATAAGGGCTTGATCTGTCTTTCCATCATATGAGTGATTAAAAGCTAAAAATATAAGTAGAAGGATTTGTGTCTAAGAAAGAAGAAGGTTACCAATAGGAAGGGAAAACACAGGCAATGAAATTAAAGGATCTAATTAGGGATTGCAAAGACTACAGCAAAGTGCCCTTCCCATCTCAATAGCTCAATCACAGCACATGACCAGAGGAACCTAAGTTTATAAGATTACCCTAATCATTGAGAAAAGATTCAATTGTGTTCTATACTTTCTGTTTTAATAAGTAGAGAAACAGTAAATAGACTTTAGAAAGACTGATAAAAACAGGTCAAATAAAATTTTTTGCTACAGAAAAAAAGAGTTAAGCTTCTGTTATTCAGAAAATTCACTTAATGTGGAAAACCTCATCCACTGTGATAGGAAAAAAAGAAAGAACACATGATAAATTTTATGACATTTTTGGGAGAGAGGTACTTTGGTGATCAGCACAGGCACTTCTGACAAGATAAGCCTTTTACGTTCTCAAAGCCAACATCCTATTTCCCCCTTTTATCACTTTGAGAAAAGCTAACTGTTTTGTGATTGCTGGAGAATTTTGTGGTTGACTTTGTTCAAAGTGACATTAAGCTGGCTCTCATATTAAAAACAATCAATTTCTCCCTTGGCAATTATTTCAAAAAGTATGATAGAAAAAGAGACCATAGCCAGGCACAGAATTCACTAGTTTTAAATACATTTCTTACCTGTTGTTTATTATGACTTCACCACAGGACTGGCAATAAAATGTGCAACATTCTTGAGCTTGCGGACTTTGATTAAACAATGAAATTGGTTCTAAAGAAAATCAAAGAAATAGCAAAATCTTAGACATTTTAACCAAACATATCAGCATACTTACATAATTTAATAGCCACAATAAATTACCATCAATAAACACTGTCTGTTCCATTCAAAGTTACACATTTAATTAGTATTATCTGATGAGTCAGCCAAAAGCAAATATCCTGAAGTGTTTCAAAACAACAGATTTCACTAAATGTTTCAGATCTAAGTACTCCCCCAGATAAACCATGTAACATAAAGTTGAATTATTTTCCTCATTCTGTAAAAACCACTCTTAAGAACAAGACAAAATTACCTAGTTCCCTCACATCAAGATCATCCATTGATCTTCACCATCCTTAGCCTTCCTCTGCTATGTCTTAACAGTACAGCTTTCACCAACGTGAGTGTTGCTATTGCTGTTGTTATGTGCTTTCAAGTTGGTTCCAACTCATAGCAACCCTGTATAAGGTTTCCAAGGTAGAAGAAAGCCTCATCATTCTCCCACGTGGAGGTCAGTGGGCTTGAAACAAAATCTTTGTGGTTCGAAGTTCAGTGCTTATCCTACAGAGCTACTGCACTCCCCAAGTGCTGGCACACAGTGGTTATGTGCAGTCGCATAGGTTTTGACTCATAGTGACACTGTGTAGGATTTCTGAGACTGTAAATGTAACAGGAGCAGACAGCCTCCTGTTTCTCCCTCAGAGCAGCTGGTAGATTCAAACTGCTGGCTTTGTGGTTAACATTAACAGCCCATCTCATAATCCACTATGCTACCAGGACTCCTTGCTGGTATAAAGCCTTAAATTTAAATTGTATTTGGTTTGAACAAGTTATGCCCACTTTGGCATATTACCAGTATGTACAAACAAATAAGACCTTGAAACTAATCCTTAGTTGGCATACACCTGGAAATGGAATGGCTCCTATAAAGAATTCAATTTTCTAAAAGTAAAAATCATTATCTGAGAGTCCCGGTTTTGGCAGTGGCAGAGACAGCCAGATAGGAAAGGCTCCATGGGGGAAGGATTGAAAGCCCAGAGACGCTGCACTCATGGAATAACACCAGAGCTCTAGATCTAGAATAAGGTGCAGGGCATCAGTTTCCCACACGCGCAAGTGGAAAAATCAAGATATAAAGTAAAATACTGTGAGTTAGAAATTGTTTGAGACGAGACTCCCTTTGCAGCCACCCCACCCGGGCAGAGTTCAGAGCGCGAGGCTACAGCCAGCCCAGAACAGGGAACCAGTGCTAAAAGTGGTGCAGTGACATTAGCAAAAGGAGGTGTGGGGGATTCTACATATTTTTTCCTCCTCTTCCATGTGGCGCCTTCTTTGCCCAGCCCAGATGCCTTCAGGCGGATGGGCGCGAATCCCCCAAAAATAGTCCAGCACTGAGCCCACATTTTCCCCATGGCACAGAAAGAGCTTGGTGGCTGCTAAACACATCAGCCTCAGCCCTAAAATTAACTTGTGCAAGACCCTTTACTCCAGCTTATCTAGAAAGAAAAAAGCAGGCCTGTCAAATAAACCATATGAACAATCTGTAAAACCCCAACGTAAAAGGATGCAACTATCTTGAGAATTACGCTGCACACGCAGATACCTAACAGACCTAATAGTAGACAATCTTTCTCCCATTAACTTCTCAATATCTATCTGCACACCTCGACAGTGGTGACTAGAGGAGGGAACTGTGCCAGCAGACACCCCCACCCACTGCTGGAGGCTTCTACGGTACACATACACTGTCTGTATAGCAAGGTGACTGGCCAGTCAGCCACAGTTTTATTTTTGTTTTAAAGTGGTGGTTTTTGTGTCTGCTTTTATATTGCGTCTGCTTTTGGTTCTTTTGAACACACATTTTTCCTGGAGGTGGGAGCTTTTTGTCACTATGTTACCCAGGAAGAGACAGAAATTATGGCCATATAGGCAATCTATAAGCATATCCCATAATATTCCACCATTGAGACAAGAGCCAATAACAGCTGCTAGGCATTACATGCAAAAAGAGAAGCCTATCTCCTGATCCTATCCACCAGGAGGCACCCAGTAAGCTTAATAACACAACAACAAACATCCATTTAAGCAATAAAACACCCACATAACTACTGGAAATGACAAACAAATCACAACAAAGATCTCAAAACATGTCCCAAAACAGAAAAGAGTAACTGAGACAAATAAGCTGGAGACAGAAAATGGCTCCCCAGAAGAGGAAGACCAGGTTTTGGTTTTGCCTGCGAAGGAATTCCGAAGAATGATATGGAAACAAATTCTAATGCTCTAAAGGGTGGAGGAAAACAAGGAAGAAGTCAGGAAAGTACTACAGGAGCAATCAAATTAGATTGATACAGCATTGGAAACAATTCAAAACCTGCAAAAAGAGGTCAAAATGATTAATAATAAAATATCAGAAATGAATAATACACAAAAAGGGGAAAGGAGCAGAATCGAAGTGATGGAAGCCACAACTAGCAAGCTGGAAGATAAATATCTCAATACTGCTAAGATAGAAGAGCAAGCAGAAAAAAGGATAAAAAAATTTTTTTGAAGAGAGTCTAAGATTCATGCTGGATAACATGAAGAACAAATTAAGAACAGGAAGAATCAGAGAAGTCCACAGAGGAGATAGTTGAAGACCTTCTAGAAGAAAATTTCCCTAACAACTTAAAAGATGAAAAGATAAACATTCAAGAAGCAGAACGTAACCCAGGAAGGATGGGCCCCAAAAGAAAGTCACCAAGATATATAATAATCAAGCTCTCCAAATTCAAAAATAAGGAGAGAGTTCTAAAAGCAGTCAGGGAAAAGAGAAGTGTCACATACAAAGGCAAGCGAATCAGATTAAGCTCTAACTTCTGAGCAGAAACCAGGCAGGCAAGAAGGCAATGGGGAAACATATACAAAAAGCTAAAAGAAAAAAAAACAAAAACTGCCAACCAAGAATCATCTATCCAGCAAAATGTCAATCAAATACAATGGTGCACTCAAAATATTCCAATATAAACAGAATCTAAGAGATTTTGTCAAAACCAATCCAGCACTTCAAAACTTCTAAAAGGGAGTTCTGTGGACTGAAAACCAAGAACAGACAACAACCAGAGATTGACAGGCATGGGAATACCACCTGGAACTCAGTCGACAGAGAGCAGAGTCTAGAACAGAACAAAACTACAACAATGAATTCCAAGGAGCTGGGAGGTCAACCCAAGATCAAAATAATATCAATGTCAAAGAAGGGATAAATGAAGGAAGAAATATCCAGGTGGTGAGGATGTCAGGTAGCTTACAGGATACAACTGATTGTCTTAAATGGAGAGAAAAGTTAATAGACTATAAGGTAACCCCAAAGAAAGGAAATACTTCACAACTTACCATGAAAATGAAATTCCAAGCAGAACAAGCAAACATGAAAACTAAGAAGAAACCGACAAGAAATAGCACAAAAAACACAGGCTCAGCACAAGAAGGCATGAAGAACAAAGGAACAAACAGCACTACCAAAAAATTAATATAATGGCTGCAATTAATTCATACCTATCGATAATTACATTGAATGTCAATGGATTGAATGCACTAGTGAAGAGACAGAGAGTGATAGATTAGATAAGAAAACAAGATCCTTAAATATGCTGCCTGCAAGATACACACCTTACACACAAAGACAAAAACAGACTAAAAGTTAAAGGATGGAAAAAAATATACCAAGCTAACTGCAACAATGCACAAGCAGAAGTGGCAATTCTAATAT